GGGGGGGGGGGGGTCCTGCCCCAGCTGGTCCTGGTGGGGGGCTTCCCAGGCTTCTCCTACTGCTCATCCCTCCTGGGCCGAGGGGATCTTTCGCTGGGGGAGGTCACGGCCACTCGCCCAAACAGGCTCTCAACCCTGCAAGCACCACCTCAGAACAAGGGCAGTGTGCAGAACCCGACTTGCCTTGAGCTGGAGCTCAAGAAATCCTAGCTGGAGACAAGCTGAGGTACATCTGTCCCAGGGAGAAAAGTCGTTTAACCACCTCAAAGCAAACAACCCCCACGCAAAGGAGGAGATATCCACACTGGATGATCCAGGTGCTCTGGAACATTCCAAGGGCTCTGCAGAAGGCCGCACCCGACACTGAGCTCAGAAATGTGTCCAGGAGAAGCCACATCCAACTCAGAGCACAGAAGGCTGCCAGCAGCCCCTGTGACTACAGCCAAGTCACCGTTCCTCCCTGGGCCTCGGTTTCTAGGTCTGTACAGGAATAGGCTGGCTTTCAACCTCCTAAAACTCCACGAGTATCTCTTTGATGTGATAAATGTACCGGGCCGGATCCCTCCCGCCTCCTCCATGAGACAGAAGGAAACCCCAAAGACCCTGTGAACCTCCCTGCTCTGCTCCTCAGGCCTGGCCCACCTCAAGTGAGAAGCAGAAGCAGCATTTCCAGATTCACAGTCTGGGAGTAGGATCCAGGCCACGGGGGTGGTCCCTCCCCTGCTCTGGGATGGCAGTGTCCTTGTGGCTCCCAGAACACCAGAGGCGGACCCAGCAGGGCCTGACTCTCTAGGCACAGCTGCCCGTGCCTCAGGTGCTGACATCGAGGCATGTGTTCCCCAATCTTGGCTGCCTTGAGGGGGCTGAGCCGTGGGTCAACGACTGATCCCCACAACAGTCTCCTCATTGGTGTCACCAGGAACCAAGAGGCACCAAGCAACCTGTCTGGAATCTTCTCTAACATGAGCGTGTGGGAACGGCTGCCAGCTACTCCCCTCATCACCATACGTAACAAGTAGCATCTCCTCTCCTTGGCCCACAGCCTCTGGACAACCCACGACCTCTGGCCAGATGTCTGCAGCCATGGCTGACACACCCCTTCGAAGAGAATCTGCTGGTTTCCAGTTGAACACACACACAGGGGTCCAAAGTATGAGGAAGTCCTTTATCCTCACACAGCATAAACAGTGCAAATATGCTAAGTCTCCCAGGTTATGCATTTTTCAATCCAGAGATGAGGACTTACAGGTGCTTTAGAACAAAATTGATTATACATTATTGATTATAAAAATAATGCCATGAGCAAATATGAGAAAAGCTCTTACCGGTAACATTTCTTTCCGACACACACCCGAGGGGCCTCCCCGTGAGCCCCTAGCAACACACTTGGGAGCCACTTTAGGAAGTTGGGCCCGCTGTCTGCACTCACGCAGGACGGTCACTTACCCTGGCAGGCAGACCTGGGAGATGCCCGGGGGAGCCCCAGCTGTTCCCAGAACGTGCACCGCCCCTCCCTTCCCACAGAATCTCAGGGGGTCCCACGGCTTCCCCTGCAGGGTTCAGGCTGTCTCCAAGAGCCCTAGTGAGCCCAGGACGCGGCCTGAGAGCACACGGGGGCAGCCAAAGCACCTACGGGAAGGCAGGGGAGAATGGCGCAGACAAAACCAGCAGGTCACCAACCCCGACAGGCTATCTGGAAAACCTTTAATTAAAGAGCAGGATGGGTGGCTCAGGGCCCCTTCCACCCCCTTGTCACTACCACACGCTCCTCTACGCGCTGTCCTGAGGGCCGCCCCCTACAGGCACCGGAGGGTCAGAAGGTGTTCTTGATGTGGGCTGCCACCAGCACTAGGATCTCCCCAATCTTCCTCTGCCAGTTGGCGATGTCCTTGGACACAGCACACCACAGCTCCCCGTGCCGTGGCTCCGCGTTCTCACAGCGCCTCCTCACCTCCTCCCGCTGCTCCTGGGCAAGGACCACAGGGCACTTGAGACGGGGCTCCTCCCAGGCTGCCCCTCACACGCGCCCCACCACGCTTGCCCGGCCCCACGGCCCTGGACCTGGAGGGCAGGGGGACACAAGTGGTGTCTGAGGTGCCCCGCTGCAGCACTGATGGCACGCAGGTGCTGAGCCCAGTCGAGACCAAGTGTGTGCCTCACACAAGTACCCCGAGCAGCTTCCCAGACCCCATGGGGCACGGCTTCCACTTCCCATGGGGACTCCAGGACAGCTGTGACAACACTAAGCATTGTGTGTGTGGGGGGGGGGGGGGGGGGGGGGATGCTGCTGCCCAGGCCCCCCCAGGCTCATGTCCAGTAGGACAGAACTCGCCCAGGCAGGACAATCATCAGGGCTTGAATCCCATCCCCATTTCTACTGTGACCCCACGCCCCAGTCACCAACCAACTCATCAGAGATGCTAACAGACCACTTAAAATCACCCAAACATCTACATTTCAGGTTAAGAGGCTAAAGGCTGTAACGAGAAAGCAGACGCAGAAGCAAATACTGTCAGGAGGGACCCCTGTGCCTCTCCCCTCCACCCACCCATTGCCCAGAGGTGGGGGTGGAGAGCAACAGGCAGCCACACCTCACCTCTGTGCCATGCTGCAGCTCAAACTTGTAGAAGAACGCCCAGGCGTCCCCCAGGTCCGAGTCGATCTTCACCGTGCGGTGGAACCACTCCCTGGCCTTGGTGATCTTCCGCTCACTCCAGAACAGCCTGTCCGCAAGCAAAAGTTCAGGGACCCAGCGTAAGTGGCCACGTCTGATGGTGCCTGAGGGGTGGTGGGGAGCCAGCTCTGGCAACATCAGGTCGATCCTCTCCCTGGCGAGCCCCTGAGCTCCCAACAGGAGAGCTGAGGAATGGGGCCTGGCTACCTGGGTATCGCTCCCACCACTAACCTGCAACTGTCCTTCAAGGGTCTAATCAGACTGTTTCTTAAAAAAGTCCACACAGAGCAAGAATTTCGAACTCCTTTAAGTTATTAGTTTCCTCTGGGTAAGATACAAGAAGATGAAAGGAAACCTTACAAAAAGTTAAGACTTTGATTAGGGAAAGTTCAGTGAAGTCAGCTCCTCAATAGATTCCTTCTGGAGCATCTGCCCCACGATGCAGTCCCTGGCAGGGACCCAGCCAGCATGGATAAGCTGGGCCTCGGCTCAGCACCAGAACTCGGGCCCACAGCAGACGCAGACACCTGCAAACCAGGCCCACGCTGGAAGCTTCAAGCGAGGACACCAGAAACCCACTGACGGACCTGTGAGCACCCTCCCCCACACGTCAGGGAAGGCGGAAGGCAAGAGGGGGGAAGGACACTGGGGCAGCACTCTTTGACAGCTGAGACCCTGAGTGGCTTCCACCATCCACCCAGTCCCGGTGTCCTCTGTGGCCACAGGCACAAAAGCAGACCACCACACCACTGACAAGCCATTCAGGGCGGCTGTGTGGGCTGGTCTCAGTTACAAAACGGAGTAATTTCATGCTCTGATAGCTTGATTGTTTTTTAAGCCCTGTGGTATTCTTAATTGCTGGGTGTTAGATAAACTATGACTTAAAGAGCACAAACTCAGATAGCAGGTTCACAGGACACGAACCTGGGAACAGCAAGGAGTGACTTATTTGCTTTAGCAAAGCCTTTTATGAGGTTTTACGGCTGCCCTATCAGAGCATCAAACAGAGCAGCCCTTCTGGGAGGCGGAAGCCCAGGGCAGAAGGGGGCCCCGGGCGGGCCCAAGCCGGGCCTCAGGAGCCGGAGGGAAGCCTCCACGTGCAGCGTCCTCAGCCTCAAAGCAGCTGGAGGGGAGGTGCCCCGGAGGACCTGAGGAAGTGGGGCCGACACCACCTGCGCATGCCTCGGGATGGGCCAGACTCCCGCTTGGGCAGCAACAGCACGCAGGGGCTCCTGGGCACATATGCCACCTCCGCAAGGGGAGGCCTGAGCAGCAGTCCCGGGAGCCCAGCCAAGGCTCCTTCTGATGCCCCCCACCGCAAACGCGGTCACCTCCCGGCCTCCTCTGAGCATACGCAGCCCCTACCCTGCTCGCAGGCCCCCCACGCGTCGGCCGTAACCTCACTTAATCTTGCCGAGGCCCCGAACTCCCTCCCACACCTCCCACACCGCAGGCCACCCCAGGGAGCCTCTGACCCAGCACCCAACGTATGAGCTGATGGTGTGAGGTCACTCGCTGACCTCCTGTTGCCCTTGAGACCATGCAACCCAAAGGAAAGATGGTCTCTGGCATGGCCATCTCCACACCTGCAGGCACACTGATTGGGCCTGACTGATGGACCCTGGATTGTCCCCAAGGTCACCAAGGTGAAAGTGTCTGCTTTCTCACGATAACACGAGAAAGATAATTTCCTTGCTTATAGCCCTTTGAGCCAAAGGAGCCTTGCTTACTAAATTCCATGTGGACCAATGTCAGCAAGTTTGTCTCTGTCTTTCGACATAGGACACGTGTACGTGTAAACCAAGAAGTGCCCAGACTGAGAGCAGTCCCGTCAGAAGGAGCCCAGGACAGAGGGAAGGAGGGCGGGGCTCAGAGGAAGCAGCCTATCTGTGGGTCAGGGGCAGCGCAGACCATTGGGACAGCACCTATCCGCATGGCCTCTGCCTGGAGATGTGCCTGCCTTGGGTCAAAGCAGAAGTGCTTCATTGTGGAATGCTGGTGGCCAAGGACCCTAATAGATCCCATCAGGTCCCGAAGGGTCAGCAACCCCACAAGGGCCCCTCACTCACTTGGCCACAGCCAGGAGCACGTGGGGGTCGTGCTCACACTTCTTCAGGGCGTCGACACTCTTGGTCTTCCTCTGGGGCCTTGCCTCAAGAAAAATGGCTTCAGACCACAGAACACCTAAAATTCAGACACAAGGATGCCACAACTCAGACCCCCACCTCTGCTTTCAGACACGGCCCATCTGTGCATAGGCTGCCCCGAGATGGGCCTGCCAACATTCTAACCCAGGGTGTCCTCAGACCATGGCTACGGCCTCCCACATGTCTGGGGGAGAGCCGCAAAGGCTGCACTGACCACCTGCCCCACAGCAGCTCTGATGGCACAGGCCAGACAAAGTTCTGGCAATGACTAGGTAGGCAGTACCCAAAACCTCCAAGGTTCACTCCCACTGACTCCATAATTTCATATCTAAGGATTACAACAAAAAAATCAGAAATACTAACAAAGATTCAAATTGACCAATAGGTGCATCGTAGATTTCTGGTATATATCTACACAGGCACTTTCAACTTTAAAACAAGTCCCGGGGCGCCCGGGCAGCTCAGTCAGTTAAGCGTCCGACTCTTGATTTCAGCTCAGGTCGTGATCTCACGGTTTGTGGGTTCGAGCCCTACGTCGGGCTCTGCAATGACAGTGTGGAGCCTGCCTGAGATTCTCTCTCTCTCCCTCTTGCTCTCTGCCTCTCCCCCACTTGCTCTCTCTCTCTCTGTCTCTCTCT